CATGAAATATATGGCAGAATCCAGGTAAAGCAGAACAGGAGACATACAATTCTCCCCCAAGGAGTTCAGTCACAAATTTTAATTTTTTTTTTTTTTTTAATTATGAGCATCATCAGCATAGAAGCATGTCCTCTGGAATGGTGGCCAAAGCATGAAGGGGCATATGAATGGTTAGCATATCTGGCATGTAAATACCTTGCAACGCCGGCCAAAACCGTGCCATGCAAATGCCTGTTCTCACTTTCAGGTGACACTGTGAACAAGAAGCAGGCAGCATTATCTCCCATAAATGTAAACAAACTTGTTTGTCTTAGCGATTGGCTGAACAAGAAGTAGGACTGAGTGGACTTGTAGGTGCTAAAGTTTTACATTGTTTTGTTTTTGAGTGCAGTTATGTAACAAAAAAATCTCCATTTGTAAGTTACACTTTCACGATAAAGAAACTGCACAGCAGTACTTGTATGAGATGAATTGAAAAATATAATTTCTTTTGTTTATCATTTTTACAGTGCAAATATTTGTAATAAAATAAAGTGAGTACTGTACACTTTGTATTGTGTTGTAATAGAAATCAATATATTTGAAAATGTAGAAAAACATCCAAAATATTTAATAAATGTCAATTGGTATTCTATTAACAGTGCAATTAATCACGATTAATTTTTTTTAATCGCAATTAATTTTTGAGTTAATCGCATGAGTTAACTGCGATCAATTGACAGCGCTAGTTTTCACAAACAAGAACTACAACCCAAAGCTACTTAAGGGGTTTTGTCAATATTTTTGTTTGTAGTTTCACCAGGTTTCCACACCTAGATTTCAGATCCAGCAACCAGAGCAAAACCCAGTGTCACAGAATTCCATCTTGCTCACAAACTAGTCCTCCTATTACTTCGGAATTTTTTTTAAATGTCCTTTGTAAGATGTTTGTTTCCATTTTAGACAACGGGTTGCTGTTAACTAGAACTGGATGAAAAAATTTAGATGGAACAGCTTTTCATCAGAAAAATGCAGTTTCGTGAAAACAAATGTTTTGCAGGACTGCATCAATTTCAATGAAATTTGACAGACATTTCAAAATGATAGAATGATAGAAATAGAGTATTTTATTCCGACTTTCTCATTTTGTTTCATTCTGACTTTTACATTTGTAATATTCACAATGTAAAAATAAAGTATGTAACTACTTAATATTTATAATGTATTTACATTCTAAAATATTTCAACATTATCCAAAACATTTAGACATGATCATTAGATGCTTTAGAATTAAAATATTTAATGATTGACTTTTTATACAAATTTCAAAATGCCAAAATTTCTTGCAGGACAGAAATTCAATTTTCCAACTTGCTCTGCTGTAAATCAATACTGCAAAGGTTTCAGCCATAGTTTTCAAATGAGGGCACTTATGGAAAGACAACGGTAAAACCTGGAGCCTCCAGAAAGGATCCAATTGACCCATTAATCTGTTCATAGAAATTTTTTGCATGTCTGCAAGGCATTTCTGCTGGAAGGAAAGGAGTAGCTGCTGTAGAATAGAGCCAGTATGATTAAAGTGAGTATGAACCATAGCAAGGGTAGATTCTTCTTGGGTAATACAGAGAACCGAACTCTTGAAGAGGTAATAGATTACACCTAAGGAAAATCATTTTGTGGAAATTAGGCCTTGACAAACCAGTCATCTGAAGAAGGCAAACAAGTACAACACACACGCTTGTTGTATCCACTTATTGTCTCATCCATTACTTGGCCTGTAAACTCTTTGGGGTAGGTGACTGTCTTTTTGTTCTTTGCATGCACAGTGCCTATCACAACAGGCCCCAATTTGCTGAATGGGGCTTTTAAGCACTTAGTTGCCTGTGAGAGGGGTCCCTCAAAAGGAATGAGGTCTTGGAGACACAGAACTGAACAGTGTACCCTTTCTTCACTAATTTACAATGCCCTCCTATACAATTTCACTACATGCTGCAAAAAAAGAAAGATGACCCCAAGTTTGTTTTTTTTACACCTTTGATTAATAGTTCTTCAAAATACCTATTAGACCTCCTAATTTCCATTTTACAGCCCTCCCCTCCCACCCCCCATTACATTAGGTTCCTCTCAATAAACTCCCCAAGGATTGGAAATAAATTATTTATTTTAGTAAGGAATCTGATTGGCTCAAAAACTTCTTGAACCTTGCCAAGTAATCATTTTTTCTTGCCCTCCTTTTTTGTTTAAGGGTACGAATACATACAGTGACTCAATTATATTAGTAAGGGAACTCCATGTCAAGTAATTTCCTCCTTTTTGACTGGCTTCCTCTTTTTAAAAAAATATTTCAAATATTCACTGTTATAGTGGTAGTTTTTAGTATGATCTTTGTAGTACACATAGAACTACTATGTAATTATTAAATAATACTGATCTAATAGTTTTATTGATATTGTATATGGGCACAGAAATTTACATTCTGTGCTCCCCCAGGCTCCGGCGGCAGCTCACTCTTCTCTTCCTACCCCCTATTCCGGCTCAAACTTCCTTTTCCCTTCCTCCCTCCGTCCCCAGCTCCAGCAGGCACTTGCTCTTTTACCCACAGCCCAAGGGCCAGGAGGAGCTAGTCAGTGAGGTAAAGTTACTGTCTAGTTATACTGTTATTAGACTTCCCTGTATGGAAGTAAGGGTCTAGCTTATATGAGGCTGTTGGGGAAAAATCAAGCAGAAAGTCAACACAATGAATCTAGATAAGCAACCTCCCACCCAAAAACTTTGAAGGCAATTACAGTTCAGTGGCCTAGTTCCATGCTTCAGCCTAAAGTTACATAGTTGTTTTGCCAGTGCTAACAGATCAAAGTTTTATGAACAGTTAAAGTAATTTAGGGCACACGTACACTACAAATTTTGGTTGACACAAATTACGGCAGCATCCAGCCACTGAAGTTAGTATATCACTCATGTGCATGCATACTTAGCAGCTTGTGGTGGCACTGGACATATCTACCAGGAATGCTTGTGTCAATGCAAAGTGCAATGCACGATGGATTGTAATTCCAGTATTGCCCCCCCCGCGCCGCCCCCCCCTCCCCAAAGCAATGCCTTTTGGAAAATTTTTGCAATGTGTTGTGGGATAGAAATGATTCACCCAGGGATCTCTGGGAGGTAGGGGCTCAAATTCTCAGCATGCAGCTTGCCAACCCATCCCATAATTTTTGTACATTTTTTTTTTAAATCCTACAAACCTGTGATACTTTTTGATGTCCACCATCTATAACAGAAGCACGGAGCCTGAAGAGCTATGCATTATTCTCATGATTGTTGTAAATACAGGACACATGATTCTCCTATATTTGGAGACTCGCAGGAACAACCACAACAACAGGGGACATGATGATGCCTTCAAGGACAGATTCTGAAGGGATAAAACAATTCAAGTTTGCTGGTGGAGTTCACGGAACAGTTGCAGACAGTGAAGTGCTGCTTCTGGGCCTGAGAAACAAGCACTGACTACTGGGATCACATCATAATGCAAGTTTGGGACAACAAGCAGTGGCTACAGAACTTTTGGATGCAAAAGGCCATATATATATTTCTGGATCTGTGTGCTGACCTCTCCCCAGGTCTCCACCAAGGAACACCAAACTGAGCTGCACTGACAGCTGAGAAGCAAGGGGCAATCACACCCTGGAAACGTATAATGCCAGACTGCTACTAGTCAGTGGGAAATCAGTTTGGAGTTGGAAAATCCATGGTGGGTGCCATTGTCATGCAAGTGTGTCGGCCATTAATCATCATCTGCTACACAGGACTGAGACCTTTGGTAGCATGCAGGACACAGTAGATAGATTTGCAGCAAAGGGGTTCCTGGACTGCAGTGGAGCAATAGATGGCATACACATCCCCATTTTGGCACTAGTCCACCTTGCCATAGAGTACATCAACAAAAAGGGTTATGCAAACAATGGATCATTGGAGACACTTCACCGATATCAATGGGGGCTGGTCAGGGAAGGTGCATGACATCTTTATGAACACAAAATTGCTCCGAAAGCTGCAAGCAGGGACATTCCTTCCTCACTGGTAGATTACCACTGACTATATTGAAATGCCAATTGTGATTCTGGGGGATCCAGCCTACCTTTTGCTCTCCTAGCTCATGAAACTATACACTAGTTACCACCAAGCAAAGATTAAACTATCAGCTCAGCAGGTACAGAATGACTGTTGAATATGCTTTTAGTAGACTGAAGGGACGCTGACAATGTTTACTCACTAGATTGAATCTCAGTTAAAACAATATCCCAGTGGTTATAGCTGCATGTTGTGACCTGCAAAATTTCTGAGGCAAATGGGGGAAAGCTACCACCACGGTGGAGGTAGAACATCTGTCTGCTGATTTTGAACAGCCAGACACAAGGGCTATTACAAGAGCTGAATGTGAAACTATGCCATTAAAGAAGGCTTTAAAAGAGCATTTTAACAGGCTGTGGTGGACAGTTCTCTAGGCCTAAAGCTTTAATTCCTAACAGCACCAATGCGGTGCTTGGTGTACTTTTATAAATATGACAGGCTCAGGAAAATACCCAATGAGTTATCTGGTGCTCTACATTTACAATGTACTGGATGCTTTGGGTACCCCTATGCACTCTACAACGTGTTGTGAACTAATAAACAATTTTATTTAAAAAAAAAAAATTTTTGAGTGGCAAAAACAGTACAGAAAAACAATGTGGAAAAAACAGGCAATGCTATACAAACTGTAAATATAAATTAACAGAATGGCACTTTGAAATTAGAAAGGTAGAAAAAAAATTGTCCATTTCAGTGCACAGAGTCCATTGTGGCTACATGTATACCATTCTTTGCTGTCCCCTGACATGGAGTGGTAGAGGTATGGATGCAGCCTGTGATGCCATGTGGAATGCTGGGGTATGTAGGGAGCCACTACCATGGAGTTCTCTAAGGACTGCAAAAAGTGAAGAGTCAGACACATGGACTGTACATCAACCAGGGTCTGCGGCATTTGTGTTTGCTGTCTGAGAAGCCCTATTATGTGTTGGTGCATCGCCTTCTCGGTTTCTTGGGCCTTTCTCCTGTCCCTTCTCAATGCTCTCTGCTGTGTCAGCCCTCCAGGCCCTTTGGTTGCAGTCCGATGCAGCACCGGCTTGCAGGATTTCACTAAACATGTCCTTCCTAATCCTACTTTCCCCTCATGGGGTCAGGTGTTCTGCAGGGGTGGAAGGGGAACTCTCCAAGACTGCAATGGCAGCAGCTGCTGATAAAGACACACATCATTGGATTTACAGTGACAACAGAAAGGGAAAGATAAGTTTCAAGACTACCTCCCTTATTCCAAAATCATAATAAACCCCCCCCCAACTTTTTAATAAGACTGTTTATTATAGAAACATAGAATTGTAGGACTGTACGGGACCTCACGAGGTCATTTAGTCCAGTCCCCTGCACTCATGGCAGGACTAAGTATTACCTAGACCACGGGTCGGCAACTTTTGGCACACGACTCGCCAGGGTAAGCACCCTGGCGGGCCGGGCCGGTTTGTTTACTTGCCGCGCCCGCAGGTTCGGCCGATCACTGCTCTCGTTGGCCGCAGTTCGCCATCCCAGGCCAATGTCCAGTCCCCTGCACTCATGGCAGGACTAAGTATGGGATCATGTCTCATTTTGTAGCACATAGCGAAACTGCTAACTATAAATAGTGACGAAAGATTACACTATTCAGTTCTGTCTCTCCTGGCCCTCTTTCACCATTTCTTTTCAGGAATCCCTCTCACAAGCAACTAAGAGAAAGTTTTCTCTCTAAGAGCTCAGAATAATAGAAGGCATCTTGCTAGTATTGTAGGTATATATTTTTTTCCATTGTGTTAATCTTGACTAAAATGAGGAAAATATAGTATTCCACGGCATAGTCCTCACCACTGAAATTCTCATTAGATTTTTATGGAATCTTTTAGGTTCCGTATTACTCTTGCATCTTTCGCCTTCCTCTGCAGCATGGGGCATAGGTCACTTTCAGGTTTAAAGTAGTATAAAATGGTATATTCTCTGTAACAATGTCTTTAAATCATGATTTGAGGACATCGGTAACTGAGACAGAGGTTAGGGGTCTATTTCAGGAAGGGGTATGTGAGGTTCTGTGGCTTGCAATGTGCAGGAGGTCAGACTAGATAATCACGATGGTCCCTTCTGACCTTAAAGTCTATGAGTCTACACAGTTACAGACAGATATTACAGTATATCATTGACAGACATTATGAAAAGATAGAGGAAGGAGAGTAATTGCCAAAGTCCTCTTTCCATCATTAGGCATTCTAGTGCACTTATTGTTTATCTTATTACAGTGGTATGCAGACATTTACAGCTTTTGTCAATGTGCCTACTTGTCTTTATCTTCTTAATCTGAAAGAGATCTCTCCGTTCCCCAGTATTAATCCATATCTGCCTTCTAGGCAGCAAAAAACAAACCTAATCTAGTTATTCCCTGCTTTGCTGTGAAAAGATGAAGCTACCTCCTGATAAATTGTAGAATAGGCAACTTTTCAGTACAAAAATTTAAAGTGCATTGAAAAACTGAAGTTGGGACTTGTAAGATTTACTTTAATGTCAATCTAGTGATACAATAGTTAGTATACTAGATTAGGGAGAGGACACAAGACAAGGCCTGGCAACAGCCATGCTTAACACACAAGATTGTGCTACACAGGACTCCTGGCTTTGCTTACTGAAGACAGTGAATAGTGTACTTTGAGCAGTACACTATTCTGTGGATTCTGGCATTTAATTTCAGAAAGCGGAACTATGCAAAAATGAGGTGGTTAGTTAAACAGAAATGAAAAGGTATAGTGACTATAGTGAAATCCCTGCAAGCTGCATGGACACTTTTCTAAGACACCATAATAGAGGCCCAACTTCAATGTATACCCCAAATTAAAAAACACAGTAAAAGAACTAAAAAAGAGCCACCATGGCTTAACAACCATGTAAAAGAAGCAGTGAGAGATAAAAAGACATCTTTTAAAAAGTGGAAGTCAAATCCTAGTGAGGTAAATAGAAAGGAGCATAAACTCTGCCAAATTAAGTGTAAAAATGTAATAAGAAAAGCTAAAAAGGAGTTTGAAGAACAGCTAGCCAAAAACTCAAAAGGTAATAATAAAATGTTTTTTAAGTACATCAGAAGCAGGAAGCCTGCTAAACAACCAGTGGGGCTCCTGGACGATCGAGATACAAAAGGAGCAATTAAAGACGATAAAGTCATTACAGAGAAACTAAATGAATTCTTTGCTTCAGTCTTCATGGCTGAGGATATTAAGGAGATTCCCAAACCTGAGCAGTCCTTTGTAGGTGACAAATCTGAGGAATTGTCACAGATTGACATGTCACTAGAGGGGGATTTGGAATTAATTGATAAACTTAACAGTAACAAGTCACTGGGATCAGATGGCATTCACCCAAGAGTTCTGAAAGAACTCAAATGTGAAATTGCAGAACTATTAACGATGGTTTGTAACTTGTCCTTTAAATCAGCTTCTGTACCCGATGACTGGAAGATAGCTAATGTAATACCAATATTTAAAAAGGGCTCTAGAGGTGATCCCAGCAATTACAGACCAGTAAGTCAAATGTCAGTACCAGGAAAATTAGTTGAAACAATAGTAAAGAATAAAATTGTCAGACACATAGAAGAACATAAATTGTTGGGCAAAAGTCAACATGGTTTCTGTAAAGGGAAATCATGTCTTCCTAATCTAATAGACTTCTTTGAAGGGGTCAACAAACACGAGGACAAGAGTGATCCAGTGGACATAGTGTACTTAGATTTCCAGAAAGCTTTTGACAAGGTCCCTCACCAAAGGCTCTTGTGTACATTAAGTTGTCATGCGATAAGAGGGAAGATCCTTTCATGGATTGAGAACTGGTTAAAAGACAGGGAACAAAGGATAGGAATAAATGGTAAATTTTCAGAATGGAGAGGGGTAACTAGTGGTGTTCCCCAAGGGTCAGTCCTAGGACCACTCCTATTCAACTTATTCATAATTGATCTGGAGAGAGGGGTAAACAGTGAGGTGGCAAAGTCTGCAGATATACTAAACTGCTCAAGATAGTTAAGACCAAAGCAGACTGTGAAGAACTTCAAAAAGATCTCACAAAACTAAGTGATTGGGCAACAAAATGGCAAATGAAATTTAATGTGGATAAATGTAAAGTAATGCACATTGGAAAAAAATAACCCCAACTATACATACAATATGATGGGGGCTAATTTAGCTATAACTAATCAGGAAAGAGATCTTGGAGTCATCATGGATAGTTCTCTGAAGACGTCCACGCAGTGTGCAGCGGCAGTCAAAAAAGCAAACAGGATGTTAGGAATCATTAAAAAAGGGATAGAGAATAAGACTGAGAATATCTTATTGCCCTTATATAAATCCATGGTACGCCTACATCTTGAATACTGCGGACAGATGCGGTCTCCTCATCGCAAAAAAGATATACTGGCATTAGAAAAAGTTCGGAGAAGGGCAACTAAAATGGTTAGGGGTTTGGAACGGGTCCCATATGAGGAGAGATTAAAGAGGCTAGGACTTTTCAGCTTGGAAAAGAGGAGACTAAGGGGGGATATGATAGAAGTATATAAAATCATGAGTGGTGTGGAGAAAGTGAAAATAAGGAAAAGTTATTTACTTGTTCCCATAATATAAGAACTAAGGGTCACCAAATGAAATTAATGGGCAGCAGGCTTAAAACAAACAAAAGGAATTTCTTCTTCACACAGCGCACAGTCAACCTGTGGAACTCCTTGCCTGAGGAGGTCGTGAAGGCTAGGACTATAAAAGGGTTTAAAAGAGAACTAGATAAATTCATGGTGGTTAAATCCATTAATGGCTATTAGCCTGGATAGGTAAGGAATGGTGTCCCTAGCCTCTGTTTGTCAGAGGGTGGAGATGGATGGCAGGAGAGAGATCACTTGATCATTACCTGTTAGGTTCACTCCCTCTGGGGCACCTGGCATTGGCCACTGTCGGTAGACAGGATACTGGGCTGGATGGGTCTTTGGTCTGACCCAGTATGGCCGTTCTTATGATCTTCTGGGTCTTCTCAACAAGCATATTTGTACTCAGTTAGCTTCTGGCATTCCATGATCCTGTTCAAATTTGTATACAAACACTCCACTACCCAACCATCACAACCTGCCCCCTATTCTGGGACTCAGGGGACCTGGGTTTTATTCCCAGTCTGCCACTTGCTTGCTGGGTGAACTTGGGTAAGTCACTTCACTTTTCTGTGCCTCTGTTTCCCCACCTGCTAGATGGGGATAATGAAACCAACCTCCTTTATAAATCATTTTGAGATCTATCTACTGATGAAAAATAAAGCAAAAGAGCTATGTATTACTACTCCACTACTAGGAGCACATTAGCCACTTAGATCTCCAGACCAGACCCTTCAGCCTTTCCCCATGCTGAGTCCTTAGGTATTTAGACATCTAAATACCTTTCAAAAATTGGCTCTTGGAACTTAAGCAATGAACAATTTGATTACCTAGCACAGAGTTTCAGAGTAATGGTTTGGACACTGCCTGCTCAGCTGCCTACCACATACATACACCACACAGAGCTATGACAGACTCTACCTTCAATTAGGGACCAAGTTTTTTTTAGACAGACACCCCTAATATGAATATGCATGTACACACACACACACACACATATATGACCAAATCTTGCAAATAATTAACTTCATATAAGCAGGTGACCTTGTGGAAGTCCTGGCTCCAATGAGTGTACTCCTATGTGCAGACCTAGCTATATACACCTAGGTCTTTGCAGGGCTGTGACGTGTATTACAGCAGTTGACAGTATTTGAGATCACATATTTTTAAGAAGCAATTTTAAGACATTGTACTAGATTTAAACAGATAATTAAAAAAAACCAACCACCGAGTACCCACAAGTTCTAAAAATAAAAAAGCCAGTATTTTTGAAACTTGCAAAAGAAGTTACCTTTTGAACTGAGGCATTACATGTCAAGTGGTAGTCTACAGTGAAATTTTACAATCTAGTCAGAAACCACCTTGAAAAACAAGATTTAAAATTAAGGCACTAACATGTCCATAAAACATTGTCCACAAAGCGGTGGGGTTTTTTTTAAGTTATGAAAACAACTTATTGTTCACTTATGTTTACTTTTTACCTAGTTCCTACAATAAATATAGGCTCATCAGTTTCACTTTTACTGCAAGTTGGTTTCACTTTCTGATTGCCAGGGAGCAACATAATATTTTTGTTTACATTCCAGGCCCGATGTCTATATGGTTGGGTTTTTTTGGTTTTCGTTTCGGATTTTTTAAATGGAAAGAACCATGACAATATTTCCATTCATATTACCGGTTTATTTATCTACTTTAAGAATGTGGAGTGTAAGTCTAGCCGGAAACGTCTCTTTAAATCGTAACTACACTGGCAGGTTTCATACTATTTCCAATAGGAAACCAAACGATCATTAGCAACTCTTATGGTTCGGGAAGACAAGTTATGCGAGCACATTTTCTAGTTTGCAGGGGGAGACAGCATCTTCAGGAACAGGTACCACAGCCAGCCACGTCCCTGCCCCTTGATTGCCGAGCCCACCATCTGTACTGGTAACGCTTCACCGATGCCCCCCACCACACAACACGATGCACCCCTTTCACTGCCTAACTTTCACCCAGAGACTCTTCCACTGACAACGGACTTTACAGCCCGCGAGCGACACACGCAGCAGCAGCCGCCCCGCGCTCTCCCTGACCCGCGCCTGTGCACACGGACATTTCGGCCGAAGAAGCCCAGCGTGTCTCTGAGCCACAGAGCAAGGGGGGCAAAGTTTACGCCGAGGGGTTTGCAGCCCGAACAGCAAGTCCCGGAGCCGGAGCCAAACCCTGCCCAGGCAGGACGGACGAGCCAGTCTCGGGGGGGGCGGGCGGCGAGCTAAGGGAGCTGGCAGCTGAAATCCTGCTCCCCAGAGCCGCCCAGCCGGGAGGGTGTTAACCTGCCCGGCCGCCCCGCGAGCGCAGGCAGAGGCGCCCCCCGTTGCTGGGGGCGCGGACCGGACCTACTCACCGCCAGGGCTCCGCAGCTAACGGTTCGGCGCCCCTCGCCGGCAGCAGCCGCGGGCAGGGAGCTCCCAATGGCGCAGCTGGAGCAGGGGCGGGGCGGTACCAGCGGCTTTCCCCACCTCTCCCCGCCCCCTCAGCTACCTGCGCGGCGCCTCGACCTGTCCCAGCAGCGCATCACCGCCTCGCGCTGCCGCCCCGCCTCGCTCGCGGAAGCGCGGCCACCACCCTCAGCCTGGGGAGGGGGAGACGCTCACTCAGGAGAGACTCCGTTCCAACACGCAGTGCGCCTGCGCTGCGGGAGAGGGGGTGTTTGTCCGCGGAGAAGCACAGGGCGGGAAAGGGGGCGGGGCTGAGGCAGGGCATGGAAAGCCCCGCCCCCTCTCGTTGTCCCTGGTGCTCAGGGGTTGGTGCCGCAGGGTGCCCAGGCAGGGCTGATGCACCAGCAGCCCCTCACTCAGCTCCTCCGTAGAAGGGGAGGACAAATAGGCTGTTGCCTGTTTTTCACTGGCCTCTTTAGTATTCATGGGAAAAGTCATGGGAGGCCTACTTCAGCCTTCTCACACCACCCACTGTCTCATCCCTGGAACATCAGGAGAGGGCCAGGGCTCATGTTACTTTGAGCACACTGATTGCTCTCTATGGCACTCAGAAGCAAGCAGCAGGCACATGCTTATTACAAAAAGAACAGGAGTACTTGTGGCACCTCAGAGACTAACACATTTATTTGAGCATAAGCTTTCATGGGCTACAGCATGAAAAGGTGGGAGTTGTCTTACCAACTCTGAGAGGCCAATTAAGTAAGAGAAAAAAATCAGCCATTACAAACGTTGAATCTATCTCCCCATGTAAGTATTCTCACACTTCTTATCAAACTGTCTGTACTGGGCTATCTTGATTAACACTTCAAAAGTTTTTTTTCTCTTACTTAATTGGCCTCTCAGGGTACATCTACACTACAGCGGGGAGTCGATTTAAGATACGCAAATTCAGCTACGTGAATAGCGTAGCTGAATTCGACGTATTGCAGCCGACTTACCCCGTTGTGAGGACGGCGGCAAAATCGACTTCTGCCGCTTTTTGTCGGCGGCGCTTACTACCACCTCTGCTGGTGGAGTTAGAGCGCCGATTCGGGGATCGATTGTCGCGTCCCAACGGGACGCGATAAATAGATCCCCGAGAGGTCGATTTCTACCCGCCGATTCAGGCGGGTAGTATAGACCAGACCTCAGAGTTGGTAGGACAACTCCCATCTTTTCATGTTCTCTGTATGTGTATATATATCGCCTCAATATATGTTCCATTCTATGCATCCGAAGAAGTGGGCTGTAGTCCACGAAAGCTTATGCTCTAATAAATTTGTTAGTTTCTAGGGTGCCACAAGTACTGCTGTTCTTTTTGCGGATACAGACTAACACGGCTGTTACTCTGAAACCTGTCATGCTTCTAAGAGGTACCAATACTCTAGCACTGCTGCCCTTCCTTCTCCCCAGCCACAGTAACTAACAGCTGACACTTCTGGGAAAGGAGTAAAAGTTATGCATCTCCAGTTATTCAGTAGTGTACATGAGGAAAGGAGGTGCTATCCTTTCTTAATACCCACAGTTTTTAAGTGGCAGCCTGAATCATGAGCTATGATTATCCCTTGCTTAATGTTTATCATTTTAGACAATATTATGGGTCTAACTTAACCAGCTACAGTATTTGACTTAGGGCAAGTCTACACTACAAAATAAAGTCGACCTAAGTTACGTCAACATACAGGCACCGCAGTAATTAAATCACTTCTGCATGTCCAAACTACGCTCCTTGTGTTGGTGGTGCATGTCCTCAGCTACTACCATTTGCACTGATGCAGAGAGCAATGCACCGTGGGTAGTTATCCCACTGTGCAACTTGCCACCATCTAGCGCAGGGTGTTTTGAGAACATAAGAACAGCCATACTGGGTCAGACCAATGGTCCATCTAGCCCAGTATCCTGTCTTCCAGCAGTGGCCAATGCCAGGTGCCCCAGAGGGAATGAACAGAACAGGTAATCATCAAGTGATCCATCTCCTGTCTCCCATTCCCAGCTTCTGGCAAACAGAGGCTAGGGAAACAATCTGTGCCCATCATGTCTAATAGCCATTGATGGACCTATCCTCCATGAACTTATCCAGTTCTTTTTTTAACCCTTTTATTGTCTTGGCCTTCACATCCTCTGGCAAAGAGTTCCACAGGTTGACTGTGCATTGTGTGAAGAAATACTTCCTTTTGTTTGTTTTAAACCCGCTGCTATGAATTTCATTTGGTGACCCCTAGTTCTTGTGTTATGAGAAGGACTAAATAAGGAGAAAAGGTTTGCAATGCTTCCTGGGGGCAAATGAGTCATGCAGGGGTGACTAGGAACACGATTTCAACGTCCCATGATGCAGTTTTCTCCATTCCATAATTTTATCTGAATCCCATAATTTTTCACGCCTCTTTTCAAAAGCCTTGCAAACCTGTGCGTCCACCATCCATGAAAAGTATGGATCCTGCACAGTTCTGCACTATTGTGATAAACGTTGAGAACATGAGGCACCTGATCTTGCAGTATTTGCGGAGCCTCAGGGAGCATGATGATTCCTTTGAGGCTAGCTTGCTGTGGGACATAGAAAGAAACAATTCAAGGTTGTTGTTGGTATTCACAGAGCAGCTATAGATGGTGGAGCGTCAGTTCTGGGCCCGAGAAACAAGCACTGACTGGTAGGATCACATTGTTATGCAGGTATGGGATGACAAGCAGTGGCTGCAGAACTTTTGGATGAGCAAGTCTACATTCCTGGATGTGTGTGCGGAGCTTGCCCCAGCACTCCAGTGCAGTGACACCAAAATGAGAGCTGGACTGACAGTGGAGAAGCGAGTGACGATCGCTGTGTGGGAGCTTGCAATGCCTGATTCCTACTGATCAGTCAGGAATCAATTTGGAATCAGGAAATCTATTGTGGGGGTTGCTGTGATGCAAGTGTGCAGGGCCATTAATCACATCCTTCTCTGAAGGACTGTGATGCTGAGCAATGTACAGGACATTGTGGATAGTTTTGCAGCAATGGGGTTCCCAAACTGCGGTGGGGCGATAGATGGCACCCATATCCCTATTTTGGCATCAGACCGCCTTGGACAGAGTACATCAACAGAAAGGGCTACTTTTCCATGGTATTGCAAGCACAGGTGGATCACTGGGGATGTTTTATCGACATCAACATGGGATGATCGGGGAAGGTGCATGATGTGTGCCTCTTTAAGAACACAGGCCCATTCAGAAAGTTGCAAATAAGGACTTTCTTTCCAGACCACTGGGGATGTTGAAAGGCCAATAGTGATCCTGCGAGACCTAGCCTACTCCCGTGGCTCATGAAGCTGTACACTGGCCACCTCAACAGCAGCAAGGAGCACTTCAACTACAGGCTCTGCAGGTGCAGAATGACAATTGAATGTGCCTTTAACCATTTGAAAGGCTGCTGGCGCTGTCTACCCATGAGATTAGATCTCATGAAAAAAATATCCCAATGGTTATAGCTGCCTGCTCTGTGCTTCATAATACCTGTGAAGCAAAGGGGGAAAAGTTTCTGTCAGGGTGGAGGTGCAACAGCTGGCTGCTGATTTTGAGTAGCCAAATACTAGGGCTATAAGAAGAGCTCAACGGGCAGCTAAATAGCTCAGGGAGGCTTTGAAAGACCATTATAATAGTGAGCCACAGTAATGTGTGTTGCTGTAGGGTGCTCTGCCTGGCATGGGTTTATTTGCACACAGTATGAACCTTGTAATGAGGTGTGTGTGTGCAGTAATATAATATTGCAAATGCACCAATTGCTATTATCTCTGAATGATGTCAGCCCCAGCCAGCATATGTTGTGAAGTAATAAAGATGTATTAAGTTTCCATAAATATACTTTTATTCCAAACCCGTGCAAACAGACATATTTATAACTAAATGAAACTTTATAAATACAGGGGAAAGAATCTTTGAAGGGGAAATAACAGTCATTACCATTTCACAAACAGATACACCAACTATGTATTTCACAGGTCAGTGCATGTGCAGCTGTGATGGTCTGTACTCTCCCCTGTGGTGAAGTGGTAGAGTAGTGCAAACATGGAATGGGGAGGTCCTGAATGCAGTTCTCTATGGGCTGCAGAAGGAGGCAAGCATGGGTCTGTTGAACCTGAAGGTCAACAAGAGTCTTCAGCATGTCTGCCGCTTGAGAAGTGCTAGCATCTCCTGCTGCACATCTCTCTCCTTTTCCTGTGGTTTTCTCCTCTTCACTCTATTGCTGTCCCTTCTGTCCACAAGGGTGATCCTTCAAGCCCTCTGCTCAGTATCCGAAGCACCAGAGGCTTGCAGGATCTCTTGGAATACGTCATTCCTGTGTCCCCTTCCTTCTCCTCTTTATCTGACTGAGCTGCTCCACTGGTGTGGATGGAGAGACCCTCAAGGCCACATTTCCAGCTGCAAAAAGTACAATGCACAGAGGTACCATTCTGAGTGTATTCACAAGATAAATGACAGGTTTCAGAGTAGCAGCCGTGTTAGTCTGTATCCGCAAAAAGAACAGGAGTACTTGTGGCACCTTAGAGACTAACAGATTTATTAGAGCATAAGCTTTCGTGGACTACAGCCCACTTCTTCGGATGCATATAGAATGGAACATATATTGAGGAGATATATATACACACATACAGAGAGCATAAACAGGTGGGAGTTGTCTTCCAACTCTGAGAGGCCAATTAAGTAAGAGAAAAAAAACTTTTGAAGTGATAATCAAGATAGCCCAGTACAGACCCCATAAACCCGCAAAAGATTAAGCCCTGAGGCCAGAGGGAATGGGTGTTTGCTCTGAGTCCACAGGGAATGGGTGTTTGCCCAGAGCCTGGAGGAGTATAACCCAGAGCCCCAGGCATGCGCTTGGAGCACTGGTGCCTGGAGCCGCTGCTGGGAACTACGTAGAGGTGGGTGCCCTAGAGTGTGCAAGTGACAGAGAATTTTGTGTGGGTAACAGGGCGGGGAATAGCTCACCAGAATGAGTATATGCGGATAGAGCAATTGAACTGAATACTGGCACCGTTTTTCACAGGCGGTGGTGATTTTAGCTGTTACTTCACTCCTTAGGGTAACAGAGGCTGAAAGGGAACAGCTCCTGCACACTTCCGGCTACAGGCTGGGGCCATATGCTGCTAGCCTATGTGCTGCAACGGTGCCTGCTGAAGTAATTGCTGAGTGGCATATGAAAGTGTCCTTCTGCAGCAGAAGATATAAGGCAGCTCTCCCCAGAAAC